CATCATCACCACCATCACTATCATCCCCATCATCACATCACCATCATCACCACCATCACTATTATCCCCATCATCACCACTATCACTATCATCCCCATCATCACCACATCACCACCATCACTATCATCCCCATCATCACCACATCCCCATCATCACCACCATCACTATCATCCCCATCATCACCACATCCCCATCATCACCACCATCACTATCATCCCCATCATCACCACATTACCATCATCACCACCATAACCATCATCACCACCATCATCATCATCACATCACCACCACACCATCACCATCATCACCATCATCATTATTAAAACAAAAAAACAAAGCCAATTCACAGACCTGAAGTTGTAGTAGCGGATGGAGAGGCTGACGGAGTCGTCGGGACTGAAGACGTAGTGCTGGAAATCCTCCACGTCCTGCTCGTAGTCTGTGCGTAAACGAAGGGGGAGAAATTTGTGAATGAATGACGTAAGAATGGGGGGGGGGATTTGTAAATGAATGACGTAAGAATGGGGGGGGGATTTGTAAATGAATGACGTAAGAATGGGTGAATTTGTGAATGATTTTTTTGGAGGGAGATGGATGTTGTGAATGAATTTTTGGAGGAAGATGGATTTTGTGAATGAATTGTTTTGGAAAGATATAACTTGTGAATGAATGATCTAAGAGAGGAGGATATTTGTAAAGGAATTACTTTAAAAAGATGGAATTCGTGAATGAACTGTTTAGGAATGAAAGAAACTGTAGAGGAATAACTTATGAAAAAAAAGAAATTTGCGACTGACTTATTCAAAAAAAGAAGGAATTTGCGACTGACTTATTCAAAAAAAGAAGGAATTTGCAACTGACTTATTAAAAAAAAAAAAAAGAATTTGTGAATGAATTACCAAAAAAACAAATTTTTTATATGAATGGCTTTTCCAAATGGGCGCCATGATTTTTTAAAAAGAGGAGTTTGAATGAACGATTAATAAAGAATGAACCGCCTTTTAAAAACAGGAAATTATGAATGCCGATTATAGAAGAATGACATAGTGAATCGACGATTAAAAAAAAGGTAATTAGTCCATGATTAAAAATGAGAAAAAAAAATTAAAAAAGCGAAATTATGGAATCAACGACTTAGGAAAAGGAAATTATATGTGGATGATAAAAACTAAGGATTTTGTGAAAGAATGATACAAAAGAGGATGTTGTGACCGAATGAATTTTAAACAGGAAATTGTGAATGTTTTAAAAAAAAGACAATTAGGAACAAACCAAAAACAAATAACAATAACAATAATATCAATAACAATAACAATAATAAAATAAATAATAGTAATAGTAAAAATCATAATAAACCAACAAATAACAAAAACAAAATAACAATGAAAATAATACAACCAAACCCCGACCTCCACCACCCATCACACCGCCACCCCCACCCACCCCACCCCGCCCACAACCGCCGCCCACACGACCCCCCCAAAAAAAACAGCTTCACCACAACGCAAACAGCAAACGGCGTCTGTCTCTTCCGCCTTAATTACGAATTCCAGGGCGTCGCGGCGAGAACGAATTCACAATATTCTTCCGGTGGGCGTGTTCAGGGCAAGGAATGGGCGGGGCGAGGGAGAAGCGGGGCAGGGGGGGAGGGGGTGACGTGGGGGGAGGGTGTGGGTGGTGGAATCAAGAGAAAGAGACGACAGGATCAGAAGAAGCCTCGAGAAAGCAAGAGACAGAGAGAGAGTGTGAGAGAAAGACCGAACGAGAGAGAGAAAAAATAGATCAATAAGCATATGGAGGGAGGGAGGGAGGGAGGGAGGGAGGGAGGGAGGGAGGGAGGGAGAGAGAGAGAGAGAGAGAGAGAGAGAGAGAGAGATGAGAGAGAGAGAGAGAGAGAGAGAGAGAGAGAGAGAGAAAGAAAGAGAGAGAGAGAGAAAGAGAGAGAGAGAGAAAGCGAAAGAGAGAAAGACAGAAAACGAAAGAGAGATAGAAAAAAAAAATAGATCAATAAGCAAAGAGAGAGAGAGAGAAGGGGAGAGAAAGAGAAAAAGAATGAGAAAGAGAAAGAGAGAGAAACAGAGACAGAGAGAGAGAGAGAGACACGGATGAGCCTTAGAGAGTAATTACACCGCGTTCTCTTAATCAAAGGTCTAGTTTGCCGTGACATCCGCCCCCTCCCCCCCATCCTTCCCCCCTCCCCCCCTCCCCCCGCTGAATCATTCATCCGTGTCCCGTCTATTATGTCGTCGTCAGGGGAGAGGGGGGGAGGGGGAGGGAAGAGGAGAGGAGAGGGAGGAGGGGGAGGGGGAGGGGAGAGGAGAGAGAAGAGAGGAGAGGGGTGGAGGGGGCGTGGGGAAAGGGGTCGAGGGGGGGGGGACGGGTGGAGGGAGGAGAAGGGAGGGGGATGTGGGAAAAGAGAGTGGGAAGGAGAGGGGAAGGAAGAAGAGAATTGGAAAGAGAGAGAAAAGAGTAGAGAAGGAAGGAAGGAGGGACGGGCGAGGGAAAGGAAGAAATGAAGAGAGAGAGGGAGGGAGAGAGGGAGGGAGGGAAGAAGAGAGGGAGAAGGAATGAAGGAGAGAAGGAGGAACGGGAGGCAGGAAGAGAGGGAGGAATTGAGCGGAGGGAAGAAAAGAAGGAAGGAGGGAAGGAAGGACTGGCAGGCGGAGGAGGGAGGAAAGAAGGAAGGGAGAGAGAAAGAGAGGGAGAGAGGAAGAAGCGACTCTATCTTCTATCATTGATTATGGGTCATTCGGAGTCTGGTGTAAACAAGTTGAGAAGGCCGTACGCGCACACGCACTTACGCACGCACATCCGCACACACACGTAGCCATACAGTCGCGCACAACCACGCACATTCTGATTAGGGAAAGAGAAAAGGAAAGTTTAAGAAAAAGTGAGGAAATGAAATGATGAAAGAGAAAGGGAGAGAAGAGAGGAGAAAAGAAAAGAAGATAACGGAGAGAGAGAGAGAGAGAGAGAGAGAGAGAGAGAGAGAGAGAGAGAGAGAGAGAGAGAGAGAGAGAGAGAGAGAGAGAGAGAGAGAGAGACAGAGAGAGAGAGAAAAAAAAAGACAGAAAGACACACAAAGACAGAAACAAAACCTAAGCTCCCCTTACTCCATTTCCCTCCCCCTCTCCCCCTCCTCCCCATATCTTCCACAGGCCTATTTCATTAATAACAAAACAGTGACAGCGAATCAGCCTCCCCCTCCCTCCCCCCCCTTCGCTGACGCAACCCCACCCTGCTCACCAAAAGCGGCTGACCTTTTCGCGTATTTATTCACGTGGTTTCGCTGTCTTCGCTCGTATTAATTATAGACACACGCAGACACAGACATAAGCACTGAAACGTATACACGCATCCATATCTATCTATCTATCCATATCTATTTTTCCATCTGTCCATTTCTCTCTCTCTCTCTCTATATATATATGTGTGTGTGTGTGTGTGTGTGTGTGTGTGTGTGTGTGTGTGTGTGTGTGTGTGTGTGTGTGTGTGTGTGTGTGTGTGTGTGTGTGTGTGTGTGTGGAGGGAGGGAAAGGGAGAGGGGAGGGAGAGGAGAGGAGAGAGAAAGAGAGAGAGAGAGAGAGAGAGAGAGTGAGAGAGAGAGAGAGAGAGAGAGAGAGAGAGAGAGAGAGAGAGAGAGAGAGAGAGAGAGAGAGAGAGAGAGAGAGAGAGAGTAAGAAGAGGAAGAGGGTGAGTAAAAAGAATGAGGCAGAGGATGATGGGAGGAAGAGGAAGAGAAAGAACAATCATCAAGCGTCGTATTACCCCGAACACCTGTCGAACAAGTGACTCCGGAAACACGCACGCACGCACGCACACCACGCGCACAGGAAAATGGCGTGCTAACTCGTTGATAAGAAAACATTTAATACGACCATTTACACTGACTTTATACCCATCGCATGCCTTTCACGAACGTAATCTCTATCTAAACTACTCCCACGTACATATTACATACGTACATACATACATACATACATAATTACATACATACATACATAAACACATACATACATACATAAATACATACATATATGCATACATACATACATAAGTACGTACATAATATGACCATAAACATACATACATGTATGTATACATTAAGGTACACGCACATATGTGGACATGGGCGCATGTATATTTGAAATCCTAGTTAACCGACGTTGCTGGGAAAACGGGCGGGAATGAATGCATAAATATATGTATATTTCTACACATGCTCGCACACTGACACATTATCAGAGCAACAAATATATATATATATATATATATATATATATATATATATATATATATATATATATATATATATATATATACACACCTACATTCATATACGCACAAACACACACGCACACACAATAAAAAGATAAATGAATTGACAAATAAATCAATAAAAAATCGATCAGTCAGTCAATCAAAAACAAGATAGACGAATTAATCGCAATTGTGTCCATCCGAGAACAGAGAAAGAACAGACAGAGAACGAGGAACAAATAAGAATAGAGGAAGAACAGAGAACGAGAGAGAAAAGAGCTAAAGAGAACATAGAAAGATAAAAGAAATAACGAGAGAGAGAGAAGATCGAAGAACAAGAGGGAACAGAGAAAGAAAGAGAGGGAACAGAGAGAGAACGAGAGAGAAAAAGCGAAAGAACTAAAGAGAACAGATAAAGAAAGAGAGAGAACAAACAGAGAACGAAAAGAGAGAAAGAGCGATAGAGAAAAGTGTGAAGGACCGAGAGAGAAAGGGGAGAAAGACCAAGAGAGAAAGAGAAGAAAAACCGAGAGAGAAAGAGGAGAAAGACCGAGAGAGAAAGGGGAGAGAGAACCGAAAGAGAAAAGAGCGAAAGACCGAGAGAGAAAAGAGCGAAAGACCGAGAGAGAAAGGGGAGAAAGACCGAGAGAGAAAAGAGCGAAAGACCGAGAGAGAAAAGAGCGATGGACCGAGAGAGAAAAGAGCGAAAGACCGAGAGAGAAAGGGGAGAAAGACCG